AGCCAACGAGAACCACCAGAATGGCCATCATTGGCGTCAGCGCGACAAGAAGCAACTGGCCCCCGCACCGACAACACACGAATCAACGAATCACACCAAGGACACGGAGATGTATGCGATGTGTGTACTCTCACCTGGAGCAGCGGACCTGGAGCAGCGGTGCCTTGTACAAACCCTGATGGTAGCCTTGGGACCAGATTTTTGTCAAGGGAATTTTGGGGTAAATGTCTCCTGGGTAAATCTGTCGGCCTCTCTTTTCCGTCAAACACGAGACGAGGGCAGCGGAGCCCTAGGACATAATGACACGCTGGCCCGAATGCGCTGGTCGCGTCTCCTTGGTCCCTCGTGTCCCCCCTCCCGGCGTATCGCTGGCTCTCTGTCCTCCTCTTCCTCAGGTTCCCCGCTTGGATGGGTTTGTGCCGATCGCCGTGGGTTTCAGATATAGTTGCCAGACGTTAACAGGATCCACTCATAAGTCATGACCTTGTTTTATTGGGCGTTCATTTAGATGTGCCGAATCATGAAATGCTCCCGCCACATGTCATGAGATTCACTTGCTGGTCACACTCTGTCTGTGTTTGCATCCGGCAATAAGCATATGGTAGCAGCTTTGCAACCAGACAAATTAGGGGCGCTTCGAGCTGGTGTCCGGCATAAACCCCGAAGCAACACAAGTCAAAGATGCAATGGCGTTTTGTCCATAGCTTTTCGTGGATGGTCAAAGAGACATGCCTACATTCGAGTCCACGTTGAATTGCGATGGACAGACTGTTCAACTGGTGCGTAGACTAAAAAGGTTGAGACAGCCAGTTGCACTCCAACTGATGAAGTTGTGCGTGGAGCTGTCTCATATCGAAGTCCTGAGTTCGTCCTGCACGATGCCGCCGATACACAGAGTTCGAGACCCCGGCGAAATGTGGGCCGGGGCGACAGCTCTAGTCCTTTTTCATCTAAGGTCGGATGAATGAAACATCTCTCCGGTGCGGCAGAAACCCGCCAAATTTGCGTAGTCTTGGTGGATTGTAAGGTCGGCTGGAGTGTGTGGCTGCTTTTCTGGTTTTCCTGCCGTACCCCCGTGCCCTTGAGCCGTCCAGCTATGAAGCGCTGTTGCTGCTCACAGATGCCACAGAGAGCTCTACGCCATTGTTGGCGGTGCAGCTGCCAAGGGATCCGTAGGAGCTTATTTACTCTGACAGCGACTTGGATCACGTGAATGTGAAGTGTATGTGCATGTAAGCGGAAGCTGTGTCTTGTAGGGCCTTGCTGCATCCTTCCGCATCGGTCTTTTCGGAAAAAGACAGATTCTGCACAGTTTTTAACACACGGATATCGTCGGGAGGCGAACCGGAGCAGGGATTTTCCTTGCTGAGCTTTGCTGAGGATATCTTGCTGAGGATACGGATGTCTCGGTTCTTGTCTCGGGTCCCTTCCTGGGAGGATTCCGTCGATGGGAATAGACGCCTCGCAGAAGGCAAGGATCGCTTTGGTAGGGGGAACGTTTTCGAGCTGCCTGCCTGGTCTGATGTTGCAATGAGCGATCTGCTGGAGAATGCACGGTTGGCGGCCTTGTAGTTCACGGCTGGCAACGATTTTGTTCGTGTCGC